GGGGGGACAGTGGGGGACACTGGGGGGACACTGGGGGACATTGGGCACAGGGAAAGTGGGGACAGGAAATTTGGGCCTGGGGTGATTGTGATTAGGGATAGGGGTTGGGAGATGGGGGGACAGGGATTTGGGGATGGGGAGGGCAGAGACAAGGCAAGGGGTTGGGGGACACTGGGGGTACACTGGGCACAGGGAAACTTGGGAACATGACCCAGCAGCTCCTGGATTCCAACTGGTGGGAGCAGGGGCAAAGCAGCAACTCCAGGACCATTTCCCTATTACTCCAGGACAGTTTCCCTGTCCATAACTCCAGGACTATTTCCCTGTCAGTAACCCCAGGTCTGTTTCCCTGTCCATAGCTCCAGGACTATTTCCCTGTCCATGTCCCCATCCACCTTTTCGTGTCCATTACGCCAGTAATCCAGGACTATTTCCCTGTCCCTGTCCCTATCCACCTGCTTGAGTCAGTTCAGGTTTTCATTTTGGCAAACTCCTACACTTTGATTTATTTAAGAATTAAAAAATCACACCAATCAAATAATCTCTAATATTAATATCTAGAGAGAAAACTAAATAAATAACATTCAATTTCTTCCCTTTCCTTCCAGAAGTTATATATTAATGAAATATAGAAGTGAACTGAAGTCTTACAAGCTAAAAGTTTCCTTAATTTTAAGGAAGTATTTTGCATTTAATTCTTTGTGATGTGGGAGCTCTGGTTTGGGATGGCCAACAGCTTTGAGTCAGGGTCAGAGGAGAGGTGAGCAGGGGGACACTGGAGCCAGGCCAGACCTCCTGCTTGGTGTGAGGAGGTGGATGAAACATTCCTTAAGCAATCTGAGGTCTTGTCTGGGCACCTCTGCATATCCCTGTCCATAACCCCAGGATCTTTTCCCTGTCCATAACTCCAGGACAATTTCCCTGTCCATAGCCCCAGGAGTATTTCCCTGTCAGTAACTCCAGGTCTGTTTCCCTGTCCATAAATCCAGGACTATTTCCCTGTCCCTGTCCCTATCCACCTGCTTGAGTCAGTTCAGGTTTTCATTTTGGACCCCAGGACCAATTCCCTGTCCGTAACTCTATTTCCTTATCCGTAACTCCCTTCCCAGTCACACTTGGCATTCCTAAATCACACCAATCAAATAATCTCTAATATTAATATCTAGAGAGAAAACTAAATAAATAACATTCAATTTCTTCCCTTTCCTTCCAGAAGTTATATATTAATGAAATATAGAAGTGAACTGAAGTCTTACAAGCTAAAAGTTTCCTTAATTTTAAGGAAGTATTTTGCATTTAATTCTTTGTGATGTGGGAGCTCTGGTTTGGGATGGCCAACAGCTTTGAGTCAGGGTCAGAGGAGAGGTGAGCAGGGGGACACTGGAGCCAGGCCAGACCTCCTGCTTGGTGTGAGGAGCTGGATGAAACATTCCTTAAGCAATTTGAGGTACAGGTCTGTTTCCCTGTCCATAGCTCCAGGACCATATCCCTGTCCATAACCCCAGGATCTTTTCCCTGTCCATAACTCCAGGACAATTTCCCTGTCCATAGCCCCAGGAGTATTTCCCTGTCAGTAACCCTAGGTCTGTTTCCCTGTCCATAGCTCCAGGTCTGTTTCCTTGTCCATAATTCCAGGACCATTTCCCTGTCTATGACCCCAGGACTATTTCCCCGTCCATAACTCCAGGACCATATCCCTGTCCATAATTCCAGGACCATTTCCCTGTCCATAACCCCAGGACCAATTCCCTGTCCATAACTCTTATTTCCTTATCCATAACTCCCTTCCCAGTCACACTTAGCATTCCTGTATCCAATTCCCACTTCCCTCCCTGAGCATTTTGCCTTGACTCCTCCCTGCTGTGCTCAGCTCCATCCCACTGCATCCCAAACATTCCCAGGAGAGAAATGACTCTTGGCAGCAAACTCTGGATTTGCCTCTGGCGACTAGATTTATTTAGCAAGAAAAAAAAAAATAAATCCTGGCTGTCTCCATCCACATGAGCCAACCAGGTACAGGTAATAAACGGGAATGGATCCATCACATAATTCAGGGAAAACCCTTCGCGAGTTTCAACTAAAAAATAAAGTGGATTTTTGTTTAATTTAAAAGCTCCAAAGCAAATATAATCTATGATACAATGTACACTGTACACAGGGAAAGGGACACACAGGGGTGAAGGAAAAGGGAAGGATGAAGTCCCAAAATTCCAAAGGAAATGCCACATTGCTTGGAAAAGGCAAAGTTGGGAAGAGAGGAATTGTCAGAGAAAGAAACAACTTGAGGTTTGGGAAAGGAAACGAAGGGGGTTAAAGAAAAGAGGGTGAAATGGGCAAAGTCTTGCAGAGGGATTAAATAAGGATTACAAAAGCCCTCGGGATCCACAGCGTGGATATACCAGAGTGGGAAGCGTAAGGCAACGATCTCCATAGAAAAAAAGGGATCTTCCAAAGGGGTTAGAGAGATATTTATAGCTATTTATAGACTTTCAATATAAAGTAGGAATGTGCTGTGGAGCCTCTGCGGAGTGTCCTCTCCATCTTCACATCCTGGGGGCTCCAGGAGGCTCCAGGGGGATTCCAGGGAGCTCTGGGAGGCTCCAAGCCACCCCCTGGCCCTGGGGGGTTGTCCTCTCACACCCTTGGAGGGTCTCTGTGTGGCAGGAGGGCAGGGGATGTCCCCAAGGCCCTGGCTGGGGACACTGGAGTGCGGCAGCGGCGGCGGCGGCGCGGGCAGAGCCCTGGCAGGGACTGTCCACATGTGGATCCATGGATTCCTGGGATCCAGGGAAGGGGTTGGAGAAGCTCCAGCACTACAAGTTCTTGGTGACCAGGTGGGTTTTATAGTGCTTGGTGAGGTGGTCTGAGCGCATGAAGCGTTTCTGGCACTGGGCACACTCGAATCGCTTGTCACCTGCAGGGAGAGGGCACAGTCAGGGGTGGCCCTGGTGGCACCATGTGCCTCTGAACCCTCTCACTCCAGGGATGGTGACTCCAGCCCCTCCCTGGGATGAGCCTCTCCCACTCCACAGAAACACTGAGGTTGGAAAAACCTTCTGAGATCAAGTCCAACCTGTGACCTATCACTAGGATCTCCCAGGGGGGTGGTGACACCTTCAGGACAGGTTCCCATTTTGATTCCCATCATCTTCTTCCCATGACACCTCTCACCATCATCATTAGGAGAGCCCAAAGACCATGGAGACCTCTCAAAGGGCAGTGGAGAACCCTCCAAATCTTCCAGTTCCCCCCCAGTAACTCAAACCACAAGGAGAACCCAATATCATCCCAGTGCTCCCCATCTCCTTCTCATGACTCTTCCTCTGTCACCACCATCCTTGGGACATCCCAAAGGCCATGGAGACCCCAAAAGGCAGTGGAGACCCCCCAAAATCCTCCAGTCCCTCAAACCCAAGGGTGGCCCAAGATCATCCCAGTGCTCCCTGGTGGCTCTTGGGGTGGTGTTGACATCCCCACAACAGATCCCCACGAGACTCCCCAGTATCCTCCAGTCATCCCCAAAGAACAACTTGGGTTGGCCTAAGATGGTCCCAGTGCTCCCTGGTGGTCCCAGGGTGGTGTTGAACCCCCCACAACAGGTCTCCATGAGACTCCCCCAATCCCTCCAGTGTCTCCCAGTAACTCAAACCCAAGAACCACTTTGGGATTGCCCAACACCATCCCAGTGTTTCCTGGTGACTCCTGGAGTGGTGTTGACATCCCCACAACAGATCCCCTTGAGACTGCCCCAACCCCTCCAGTGTTTCCCAGTAACTCAAACACAACAACTTGGGTTGGCCTAAGATGGTCCCAGTGCTCCCTGGTGGCTCCTGGAGTGGTGTTGACAACCCCAGGGACAGGTCTCCATGAAACTCCCTAAAACCCTCCAGTGTCTCCCAGTAACTCAAACCCAAGGACAGGTTGTGGTGGTCCAACACCATCCCAGTGCTCCCTGGTGGCTCCTGGAGTGGTGTTGACATCACCAGGGACAGGTCCCCATGAGACTCTCCCAAATCCTCCAGTGTCTCCCAGTAACTCAAACCCAAGGACAGGTTGTGGTGGTCCAACACCATCCCAGTGCTCCCTGGTGGTCCCTGACCTGTGTGTGTCCGCGCGTGCCGCTGCAGCTCGTCGGAGCGGGTGAAACGCTTCCCGCAGAAGACCCAGTTGCAGACGAAGGGTCTCTCCCCCGTGTGCAGCCGCACGTGGGCGCGGAGCAGGGACGTCTTCCGGAAGGTTCTACCACACTCCGGGATGTGGCAGATGTGCTTCTTCTTCCCTGGATCCCCCGGCCTGGGTGGGAGAGGTAAGGTTAGCCATGGAGATGGGATCTGTGGGGATGAGCTTCTCCTGCTCCACAGAGTCATTGAGGTTGGAAAGATCTCTGAGGTCATCGAGTCCAACCCGTGACCCATCACCACCTTGAGCACTTATCCATAGAATCCCAGAATCATTGAGGTTGGAAAGATCTCCAAAGTCATGGAGTCCAACCTGTGACCCATCACCACCTTGAGCACTTATCCATAGAATCCCAGAATTACTGAGGTTGGAAAGACCTCCAAAGTCATTGAGTTCAACCTGTGACCCATCACCACCTTGAGCACTTATCCATAGAATCCCAGAATTACTGAGGTTGGAAAGACCTCCAAAGTCATTGAGTTCAACCTGTGACCCATCACCACCTTGAGCACTTATCCATAGAATCCCAGAATTACTGAGGTTGGAAAGACCTCCAAAGTCATTGAGTTCAACCTGTGACCCATCACCACCTTGAGCACTTATCCATAGAATCCCAGAATTACTGAGGTTGGAAAGACCTCCAAAGTCATTGAGTTCAACCTGTGACCCATCACCACCTTGAGCACTTACCCACAACATCCCAGAATCATTGAGGTTGGAAAGACCTCCAAAGTCATCGAATCTAACCTGTGACCCATGAACAGTAAGTGCCACATCCAGTTGTTCCTTGAGCTCCTCCACAGATGGTGACTCCACCCTGGACAGGTCCAACATCTCACCACCCTTCCCATGGCAGAAAATCCCTTCTGCTGCCCACACTCACCTCTTCTCCCCATCCTTGCAGTTGGGGCAGGTACAGGCCATCCTCCTCCTCTTCTCCCCGGGCTGCATGTCCCCAGCCAGTGCCTGCTCCATCTGCAGCTGGATCTGGGTGGGGCTCAGCCCACTGATGGTCACGTTGTTGCCAGCCACGTTCTGCACCGTCAGCTGCTGCTGACCTGGTGAGGAAATTGGCAATCAGGATCTACCCTGGAGGCCACACACCCATCCAGCTCCACTCCTCCAACCCCTGCGGCTGGAGGAGCCCCCCAAGGAGCAGAAAACAACCTTCTGTGCCCCCCCAACCCTTCATGCAGCAGCATTCCCTACTCCCCCTGATAAGTCCCTTTTTTTTTTTTTTTTCTGAATATACTGTGCGGTTTTTCAAAGTTTTCGACCCTTTTTTTGAGGTGGGAAATACTCAAGAGAGAGGGACCAAAGAAAAGAAACTTTGAAAAAACGTGCAATATATTGACCAAAAAAAAAAAAAAGGGACTTACCCTAGACCCTAAGAGTTGCTGCTCCAGGCTCGGCAGCACCCACAGCACTCACAGCCGCCACCGGGGCTGGAAAGAAAAGAGGGTCAGCGTCAGCAAGCAGGAGAGCTGCTCCTTCCGGGCAGCGGGAGGAGGAGCGGCTGGAGGAGGAGCTGGAGGAGTGGGATTTGGAGGAGGAGGGAGGGAGGATGGGTCAGGAGCCAGGGCTGAGCAGAGGGGCTGCTGGATCCGACTGGGAGGAAGCGCCAAGCAAAGGGTTGGGATAGTTCTCTGGCAGTGCTGGAGGTGGGAATGTCCTCCTGAATCCAGGCTGAGACTCGACTCAGCTCATTACACTCATGGGCAGCAACCAGGAAGACCTACCAGTCCCCTCACACAGAAAGAAGTGTGAAGCAAAGGGTTGGGATAGTTCTCTGGCAGTGCTGGAGGTGGGAATGTCCTCCTGAATCCAGGCTGAGACTCGACTCAGCTCATTACACTCATGGGCAGCAACCAGGAAGACCTACCAGTCCCCTCACACAGAAAGAAGTGTGAAGCAAAGGGTTGGGATAGTTCTCTGGCAGTGCTGGAGGTGGGAATGTCCTCCTGAATCCAGGCTGAGACTCGACTCAGCTCGTTACACTCATGGGCAGCAAGCAGGAGGTGTAAAACCTCCTGGGACATCCTGTAGGGCCAAGTCAAGGGCAGGAGGTGTAAAACCTCCTGTAGGACCAGTCAAAGCCAAGGGCTGGGATAGCTCTCTAGCATTGCTGGAGGTGGGAAAGTCCTCCTGAATCCAGGCTGAGACTCAACTCAGCTCATTACACTCATGGGCAGCAACCAGGAGGTGTAAAACCTCCTGTAGGATCAGTCAAAGCCAAGGGCTGGGATAGCTCTCTAGCAGTGCTGGAGGTGGGAATGTCCTCCTGAATCCAGGCTGAGACTCGACTCAGCTCATTACACTCATGGGCAGCAAGCAGGAGGTGTAAGACCTCCTGTAGGACCAGGTCAAGGCAGAAGAAAGCACAAATCCAAGGGCTGGAATAGCTCCCTGGCAGTGCTGGAGGTGGGAATGTCCTCAGTGAACCCAGGCTGAGACTCGACTCAGCTCGTTACACTTGTGGGCACCAACCAGGTCCTGAGTGTCTCCTCACAGCAGCAACATCTGCCTGTGTTATCTCCCCAGGCTAGTCCCACATTTCCGTGGGAAGCAGCAATTAAATCCCCCTCAAAGCCAATCCCAGGAGCACAGTGGGCAACGTGGAGCCACACTGGGCTGGATGTTCTGCTGACATGGTCCAGGCAAGCAGGAAGGAACAGCTTTCAGTGCCAAACCAAGCTGGAGCTGCTGCTGGGACAGAAACCACTGCCTGGCAGCAGGTCTGGCTGGATCAGGAAGGAGATAAACTTCCCACAGACAGTTCCCTCCCCTTGGCTCCCTGGGGAAGGTGTGGTGGGGACAGAGTGGCTGGAGGGACGTGATGCCCTGGCAGCAGGGACTGAGGTGCACCAGGGCTGTGTGTGGCTCCAGGACACTGGTCAGGACCATCTCTGGCTGGTTTGGGATTCAGGAAGATCCATGAAAGGATGAGGTTGGGATCCATGAGGGGTTGGGTTCACTCTCTGGGAATGC